GAACTGTAAGACCAAATTACGTGTGCAAAACATTATTTGAAAGCTAAAACCCTCTAGTTTCTGAATATATAAAATTGGGTAAGTAGAACAGAGACCAACCTGCTTCAATTCAGACATGTTTCAAAGTTGTTGTTTTTTTATTGTCAGAAATGATAGGTCTTTTTTTAACAGCAGTGATAAATACATTCTTCGGAAAAAGCAGGTTTTATTGTATTATATTTGTTCTACATCATGTCAACCACAAATGCAAAAAATTGCAGGTCTCTCACTATAACAGTTTCAGAGCTGTGGGGTTTGGAACTTTTGGTTTTAGCTTGGAGCTGCGCGCAATGGCTCCACCTGCTGGTAGAAATTTTAAGGGTGGAATTTTATGCATTTTGAATGATTACCCCCACTTTGTTTTAATAGGTTAAATTAAATGAGTTGTTTATGCATTCATATTATACATTGACTTTTAAAATAAAAAAATATGATAAAAAATAGACACATTTTTCCATTTTGAAATGTGTTTTTTGAAGTATAGTACAACAGCCGTTCAGTTTGGTAAATTTCCTGATTCAGATATTTTATAAAACAACATAACTGACTGTTTCTTCCTTTTTTCTGTCTTAATGTTGGCAGTGGGCTTTAGGCTGCCCTGCAAGGCTTTAAACCTGGGTTTAACCGGAGACTAAGCCATTCTCAAGCACATACACTATATTGCCAAAAGTATTTGCTCACCTGCCTTGACTCACATATGAGCTTAAGTGACATCCCGTTCCTAATCCATAGGGTTCAATATGACGTCGGTCCACCCTTTGCAGCTAGAACAGCTTCAACTCTTCTGGGAAGGCTGTCCACAAGGTTTAGGAGTGTGTTTATGGGAATTTTTGACCATTCTTCCAGAAGCGCATTTGTGAGGTCGCACACTGATGTTGGACGAGAAGGCCTGGCTCTCAGTCTCCGCTCTAATTCATCCCAAAGGTGTTCTATCGGGTTGAGGTCAGGACTCTGTGCAGGCCAGTCAAGTTCATCCACACCAGACTCTGTCATCCATGTCTTTATGGACCTTGCTTTGTGCACTGGTGCACAGTCATGTTGGAAGAGGAAGGGGCCAGCTCCAAACTGTTCCCACAAAGTTGGGAGCATGGAATTGTCCAAAATGTCTTGGGATGCTGAAGCATTCAGTGTTCCTTTCACTGGAACTAAGGGGCCAAGCCCAGCTCCTGAAAAACAACCCCACACCATAATCCCCCCTCCACCAAACTTTACACTTGGCACAATGCAGTCAGACAAGTACCGTTCTCCTGGCAACCGCCAAACCCAGACCCGTCCATCAGATTGCCAGATGGAGAAGCGCGATTCGTCACTCCAGAGAACGCGTCTCCACTGCTCTAGAGTCCAGTGGCGGCGTGCTTTACACCACCGCATCCGACGCTTTGCATTGCACTTGGTGATGTATGGCTTGGATGCAGCTGCTCGACCATGGAAACCCATTCCATGAAGCTCTCTGCGCACTGTTCTTGAGCTAATCTGAAGGCCACATGAAGTTTGGAGGTCTGTAGTGATTGACTCTGCAGAAAGTTGGCGACCTCTTCGCACTATGCGCGTCAGCATCCGCTGACCCCGCTCCGTCAGTTTACGTGGCCTACCACTTCGTGGCTGAGTTGCTGTCGTTCCCAAACACTTCCATTTTCTTATAATACAGCTGACAGTTGACTGTGGAATATTTAGGAGCGAGGAAATTTCACGACTGGATTTGTTGCACAGGTGGCATCCTATCACAGTTCCACGCTGGAATTCACTGAGCTCCTGAGAGCGACCCATTCTTTCACAAATGTTTGTAAAAACAGTCTGCATGCCTAGGTGCTTGAATTTATACACCTGTGGCCATGGAAGTGATTGGAACACCTGATTCCAATAATTTGGATGGGTGAGCAAATACTTTTGGCAATATAGTGTATCAAGGAGCTCATTTTGAGCCTGGATCCAGATTTATTGTTGATTCTGTTCATGGTGGAGAATCCTGCTTCACAGCAGCAGGTTGAGCCAAACATCCTCTAAATATGCAGGGTCATCTTTGAGCACGCCATTTCACTTTTCTTTCACCAGTTCACCGCAGTTCTTCCAGCAGTCCACACTTTCTCTGCTCTCTTTTTCTCATGGTCTTCTCCTTCTTTCCCATCGCCCGGCTTGCCACAGGTTTGCCTGCTGGGTCTAAAAGTAGCAGCAGCAGCAACCCAGACTAACAGCTCATTGGCTCATTTGAATCACGTGCAGCCTGGAGCCGGACGCTCCCCAGGGCTTTACCGTATTAACAGGAGAAGCAGGGCAAGTGAAATTAGACACTGTCGTCAGACAACATGCGGTATAAAAATGTTTTAAATTAGGTTGGGTCCGGATCCGGACCGCGGTCTGTTAATCCATGACCTCTGAACTACACCATCAGTTCTTCTGTTTTTCACCGTTTATGAAACAAAACAATTCAACCTCCTTGTTTTATCTGTGCAGAGGGAAACAGCAGCCTTCGTCAGACAGTCAGAGGTGCAGGATTCAGTCTTTCTCTCACGCAAACGTCCACATGCTCAGCAAACAGCCTTCATGACTTTCAAAGGCTGTGGAGCCGCTCAGCGTTGCCTCAGTGCTCTTTCTGAGCCGCTGCTCTTTCATCATCTTTAAAGCATCTTAAATGGTTGATTAAGCTTCTCTTTCTTTGTCTTTCTGTACCTAATCTTGCCTTCGTGTTCCCAATATTTGTTTTGGAGGCTCAAAGGTGAACAGTGAAAGATCTTTTAGCTTCAGATTTGTGTTATTTTCGTTGCATAAGCGCCGCTGCTCTCTGCATCTGTTCTACTGTTGTCACTCATTCTGGCTCCCTAAAGCTTAGAGAGAAAAAAAGAATTCTTTGTTTTTCAGAAACACCATGAATTCTTTGGCTCATTTACAAATCAGCCTTTTACTTTTAAAACATTTTTTTTTTGGTTTTATTTCCTCTAGTAGGGCAGAGCAAAAACTAATTATTCACTGGAAAAATACTCTAGAAATAAGTTAAAAAAAAAATCTTAAATTAAGTGTATTTACCCTAAATTTGAGTAGATAAACGAGATAGTTTGCCAATGAAATGAGTACTTTTACTCTTAAAATAAGATATTTAGATCAAATGCACTTGAAATAAGACAATGCAATTGTTTTTTTCTTATTTTAAATGTAAATTGTCTTGTTCCATCGGCAAAATGTCTTTTTTATCTCCTCAATCCAAGAATAAATGCACTTATTTTAAGAAAATGGCTTATCTAGATTTCGATTTTTTTAAGTGTTTCCCAAACAGAGTAGAGAAAAATCGTATTAAATCAATTAGTTTGACCATTAAAAAATGAATAAAACCATTTCTTACTTTAGCAGACTTTTACTTTTACTGTTTTTTTTTTACTTTTAGGGGGAATGCAAGGTTCAACAATCAGTATTATGTGCATTTTACTCACAGTTGCAGTAGATGATTTGATTGCAGTCAATTTTCTTTTTGGTCTTCCAATATGTTAACTATTGTAATCACATATACTTTATTTGCAGCACTTATTAAACTGGAAAAAACATCTAGAAATAGGTAAAAATTTCTCAAATAAAGTGTATTTACCCTTAATTTGAGTAGGTAAATGAAAAGATTTGCTAATAGAATGAGTATTTTTATTCTTAAAATGAGATAATTAGATAATATGCAGTTGAAATAAGACAATGCAATTGTGTTTTCTTATTTTAAGTGTAAATTGTCTTGTTAAAATGGCAAAATGTCTGTTTTACCTCCTCAATCCAAGAACAAATGCACTTATTTTAAGAAAAAAAGGACTTATCTAGGTTTTTTTCCAGTTTGATCCTTTTGAATTCTTCGTCTTTTTCTGCTTTTTGTAATTTTGTACCTTTTCACGAAAGAAAAGAAACAACCATCAAACAATTAGCATTTATACCAACTCTAACAAATAATTAATTCAGTTACTTTCCGTCTATCTGCTCATAACTTTCTGTAATGTTATGCTATCACTGGAGTAAAATCGAAATCTACTGTAGATAAGTCATTTTTTCTTTAAATAAGTGCATTTGTTCTTGGATTGAGGAGGTAAAACAGACATTTTGCCAATCGAACAAGACAATTTACACTTAATAATATGAAAACACAATTGCATTGTCTTATTTAAACTGCATATTATCTAATTATCTTATTTTAAGAGTTTACTCTCATTTAACTATTCAAAGTAAGGGTAAATACACTAAATTTAAGAGATTTTTCACTTATTTCTAGATTGTTTTTCCAGTGATAATGTTACCTTTTTACCATTTCATTTAAACTTTAAACAGGATATAATTTAGCTAAAACTAAAAGCTCTCCAACACTTTATAAAGTCATAAAGTGTCCGTGTCCTACAAAACCAAAGTAGAGTTGCATATTACAAAGAACCAAAATGATTAAGATAACAACTAAAAAAGCCAAAATAAAAAACAAATAAAATATTATAAAGGACAAAATCAGAGCCTAATGCCAATTCTCAGCTTTTTTAATCCACATATGAGCCTCAACCAGAAAAAAACAAATCAGACACTCATTCTGGTTTTCTGCAAGCATGAAAGAAAAAAGGAGGATTTACTTCATCTCAATTCCAGTTTGTTTTTTCAAAAGTGTAATTAGAGCAGCGGTTAAGTGTTCTCCCTTGCTTATTAATTCCAAACAATTAAAGTGGGCACTTCCATTAAACATATTGGCAACTTTCTTAAAGCGAGATTAATTTGGCAGGCAGGAGGCTGAGTGGGCTTTTGTGGGACCGGTTATCTTTCCTCAGCAGATTGGGCTAAACTCTCCAGGAGCCTGCTGGGATGAAGGATGTGTGTGAGTGCAGAGACGATGTGAAGCAATGTAGGTCATTTGGATGGTGTGAACATCACAAGGCTTTTGAGATTCCTCTTCACGATTACCTGCATATACAGCACGCTCACTAAGCCGGACCAACAGCATCCTGTGTCTCTGTATCTAGGTCTCTTTCAGGTCGTATCGTTGGTGGCGTCTGGTGGTTCTTCACCCTTATCATCATCTCGTCCTATACTGCCAACCTGGCTGCTTTCCTGACCGTGGAGAGGATGGTGTCTCCTATAGAGAGCGCTGAGGACCTGGCTAAGCAGACGGAGATCGCCTATGGAACGCTAGACGCCGGCTCCACTAAAGAGTTCTTCAGGGTGAGCAACAATAAGGCTTCTAGTTATACTCTGCCAAAGCATTCTGACCTCTTAAAACAACAAACTGCTTTTTATTTTATTGGGTTTTTATGCAGCCGACAGACAAAGAGTAAAAGTATTATGTAGGAGTTTTTTGAAAAACAGTCAGTGAGACTTTCTATATAATCAACGTTATTCTCTGTCAACATATATTCAGGGGTGGAAAGTAACAAATTACATTTACTCACGTTACTGTCATTGAGTACTTTTTATGAGTAATTAGTAGTTTTTCAAAATATGTAATTTTTACTTTTACTCGAGTAAATTTTAACCTAAGTAGTTTTACTTTGCTACATTTAAAACCCCCTCACGTTACTGAGTAAAAAAATAAATAAAATACTGATGGTGAAAAAATTAAATGCGGCCGGAAATTTAAACCCCTGCATCACAGAACCGACACTTAATCGCCATAAAAAAATAGAAGAAGACTTTTGCCTTTTAACAGCACTTTATTTACACAATTCAAACATACAAACAATTGATGTAAAAACAAGTGTTAGTTAAAATCATTAAATTGGGAGCTTGTTAATAACAGTAAGATTTCTGGTATCTTTTGGGCATTTAATTTTGTGTGCATTTTGAAAACTTTAAAACGTAGTTTAAATATCTTTATTCCTATCACGGTGTCTGTTGGACAGTAGGATTGAAAATTGTTTGCACTTTATGGTTCAGGTTGTGACTGTCCTTGTGCTGTGAGGAAGTATGATCTTTAGCCCAGCTGATCTTTAGCAGGTGTGGATGTCCACTGAGATACGCCTTGAAATCGATTAAAACACCTTGTGCTCAATTCGATTCATGACTCATCCTTTTTTTGCATTAAATAACTCAAAGTAACTAAGTAACTTTTACTCAAATTACATTTTAAATGAAGTAATTTTGTACTTTTACTTTAGTAAATTTTGAGATGGGTAATTTTACTTTTACTCTGAGTAAGTAAAGATACTTTTACTCAATTACAATTTTTTAATACTCTTTCCACCTCTGCATATAATAAATACTCATATGACCTGTGTTATCTAAAATACATCTAAACTACTTTCCACAAACATTTATATGTGCAGATTGAACGTTATGAGGCACCCCATGTGTCACAATCATGACTTCATTTTCCTTTTTGCTCTTTTTTAGATTATTTCTATAGCTCCAATTCACATCATGTCATCTCAAGGCACTTTCCAGTTCACCAGATCATCCAGTCAGATTGATTCAAAGTTTTCTATCTAAGAAAAACCAGCTGATTGCATCGACTCATTGACTCTTCAGCAATCCCTCACACTAAGCATGCTTGTAGCGACTAGGGGTGTAAATCACATCCATCTTGGCGATTCGATTCAGTATCGATTTCCTGACCCAACGATTCGATTATTTTTGATACTCAAGAATACACCCAATAGGATTCGATTCGATTAATCGGTTATTTTATTTATTTATTTTATTTGTTTTTTTACACCTTACAGGCTAAACAAAGTTTCAAGTTTGAATTAAATCAATGAAAGCTGTAATATCGGTGTGCATTTTTTTTTTTTTAGAAACAACAGCAAATAACAAGTAGAAAAGTTGCATCAAAAAATACTGCAGAAAATCAGTGCAATGAGTGCAATGCAATACCTCGGCTCCAGACGTCCCGCCCCCTCCACAGACGCTCCGCTGCTCCTCTCCCTAATTGTAGCTGACCGCAGACAGTGCCGCAGACAGGAGGCCGGCTTGTTTTGTTTTTATGACCGAAATTGGGGAAAACAACTCGTGAAGTTTGACCCGCTAGAAGAGCGAGGTGCGCGAGACCGCTGGGACCCTTTTTCCACCTGGATCTCCGCTCTTTTTGGCCCTCATGTCCCTCCGTCGTCGGACTAAACTCGCCCCCACTTCCTCGCCGCCTCGGCCGTATCTAGACCCACAGCGTGTAGCACAGACCACGCTTCAATACTGAGCATAATTTAAAAATGTCTGCATCAAGCTCACTGTGACACACTGCTGTAAGAGTATAACCAGGAAGCGAGGTAGGAGGGCAAAATAGGTTTAGCGCCACCGCAGCACGGGAGGGAGAATTACACCCAGGAGCAAATGGATAAAAATAGACCGGAGGGAAAAAAAAAAACATGAATCGATTATCTTGCGGACGTGTCGATGCATCGGATCGTCGGCTTTTGGATCGATGCATTGATACAAAACCATTATTATTTACACCCCTAGTAGCGACAGTGGAGAGGAAAAACGAAAGTTACGACTGTAGCTACAGTTCTATGAATCCCGGATGACCGCTAGAGGTGGAGCTTAAAGCACGAATAATAACTCTTGCGCGTTGGATTGTGGATGTAGTGGAATAAGCGTACATCCGGCGGGGCCTCTAACCCCCCCCCCGGTGTACGGTGCCATTCCACCAGGGGCTAGAGTTAGTCATGGGCCACTAACACTAGTGTCACTCTGGGGGCTATTTGTTCAGCAGCCTCTTGGTCATCCCCGAATACCTTTGCTAGGTTTCACAGGGTTAACTTGGCATTAGAGACTGACATTTTTTCGGGAATCCCACGGGTCACGGGATTCCAGTGGGATGGGAGTCAGTATCAGTAACGATCACGTGATCGGGACGGTACAGGATTAAACATTAACGGGAGCAGACGGTAGCGGGAGCAAACCAATAGTAACAAAAAAAAAACTAGGATCGATGCCAAAAAATAAAATGAAATGGAAAGAAAAAAAATCCAGTACTGGCGCCGCCTTTTTGTAGTTTTTTCCTTGAAGCCTACACTATAATGCGAGTCAAAAAAAACGACAAGACCCAAAAACCAACAGTGCTTCCGCTCTGAGTATTTCACCCACGCTCAAAAACAACAAGAATGGGAGTGGAGCAGGTGCGGGAGTCATTCTGAATGGGAGCGGGATGGGAGTGGGAGTAATTTCACCAGGAGTGGGATGGGACAGGATTTAGATTTCTACTCTGGCCCGAGATCGGGACGGGACAGGAGTGAAAATCCACTCCCGTGTCAGTCTCTAGTGGGCATGTTTCGGGTTGTTGTTTCTGTGTGTGATTCCTCAGGACTCTGTTGGTAATCATCATCCGTGCTTTAAGCACCGCCTCTGGCGGTCAGTAGGAATGAAATGGAACGAAAGTTATGACTGTAACTACGGTTCTATGAATCCCGGATGACCGCCAGAGCGCACGGTCCCTCGGAATCATCGTGTTTTTGGCGAGAAGATTAAGGGACTGAGCTGTCGGTGTCACCGGAGGTCACACGTGACTATGTTGGTGTAAGATTCTCGACCTGTGCATGCACAAGAGTGGTCATTCGTGCTTTAAGCACCGCCTCTGGCGGTCAGTAGGGATGAAATAGAACTCCCTTTTAACAGGAAGAAACCTCCAGAAACAGGCTCAGTGTGAGCGGCCATCTGCTGAGGCCGACTGGGGTTCAAGGAGACAGAAGCAAAGATGAGTTGATGCAATCAACTGGTTTTCCTCAGATAGAAAACTTTGAATCAATCTGACTGGATGATCTGGTGAACTGGAAAGGGACTCCAGATGACATGTTGTGAGTTGGCGCTATAGAAATAAACTGAATGTATTTTTATCCTCTGCTCTCGTTTTTTAACTCTCGTCCATCAGAGGTCAAAAATTGCCGTGTTTGAGAAGATGTGGTCCTACATGAAGGCAGCCGATCCTTCCGTGTTCGTAAAAACAACAGACGAGGGAGTGATGAGGGTCAGGAAATCCAAAGGCAAGTACGCCTACTTGCTGGAGTCCACGATGAACGAGTACATAGAGCAGAGGAAGCCATGTGACACAATGAAGGTGGGGGGGAACCTGGACTCTAAAGGTTACGGAATTGCAACGCCCAAAGGCTCCCCTCTAAGGTAAAACCCCGCCATTGCAATGTCGCTGGATAAAAGCCTGTATTGAAACGCATGAACACGTTTATCCATGAAACCAAACTGTTTTATGTTCTAATTCATTCATTTTTATTTATTTACAGTAATTAGATTGAATTTTGTTTTATTTCTCTATCATTTTCTTCCAAGGAGTTTGATTTAAGCGTAACTTATAATAGTTTTGAAAAGCTCTGACTGAGAGATTTAATGAATCATTTGACCTATGAGAAGAATAATTTAGCTTTATATTCACTCAACAAAACAAAACGAGAATGTGTCAGTACTTTTAGAGAAATAAAGAAGTGTCATTAATTTATTTTAACTAATTAACAAAGCTTTCCATTAATCAAAACCTTTTTTTTTAAAGAATCTGTGATCGGAGTAAAAGTTAACTTTATCTCCATTATTCTTATGTTTTTCACGTTAACTGACGTTTCCTGTTTCTGTATTTCCTTCAATTTCACATAGTTTTTTAAAATAAAATAAAAACATAAAAAATGAAATATGATCGGCTCCATTAGTTGCATTGTTAATTCTTCCCGTGGTTGATTGACGTTCGGTACCGTTGCCTAGCAACCAACATCCTACCCTACAGGTCTCTGGCTGTCAGGAGAAATCTAGCAGCGAAACAGGCTTTAGAAATGCTTCGAAATATTGATGATAGCGATCCGGGCGGAGAGGGAGAAACCGATGTAAGAGGACTGGATAGGAAGAGGCTCAGATTCTAGCTGCAAATGTCTGGTTTTTGGTGCAATATCTACATAGGTGTATAGAGGCCCATTTCCAGCAACTATCACTCCAGTGTTCTAATGGTACAATGGCTCATTGGCTCAGAAGCTAATTGATGATTAGAAAACCCTTCTACAATCATGTTCACACATCTGAAAACAGTTTAGCTCGTTACAGAAGCTACAAAACTGTCCTTCCTTTGAGCAGATTGAGTTTCTGGAGCATCACATTTGTCAATTAAACGCTCAAAATGGCCAGAAAAAGAGAACTTTCATCGGAGTTCAGTTTAAAAGTTAAGTAAAGTGTTTTCCTTCAAAAATAAGGACATTTCAATGTGACCCCAAACGTTTGAGCGGTAGTGTATGTTGATGAAGTTATGTTTTTTAACACCTCCATACGGCTTTAAACGAAAGACCTGATTTGATCTCATGTTTGATTTTAAATCTTCTGTCATAAGAACCAATTTGTATCTCTACTCAGACTCTTTGGATGAAAAATGTTAACTTTATCAAAAGCATTTTCCATTTTGTTTTTCATAACCATGACAAGGCATTTTTGTGATATTTTGAAGTATTCTTTGGTATTAAATAGTTTTTAACCATTAAACTGCGTTAACACTATTTCTGTAGTTATTATCCATAACATAAACATGTCTTTAGAGTTAGCTAACACCATTTCTACCATCTCTGTTTATTTGTGTCATAAAGTAAGCCTATTTTAAAAGACTGAAAACAGGATAAAGTGCAAAGTAGGACAAGAGGATGTTGATTCCTTTTTGAGCCTCCCTTTAATTAACCCTGAGGCTTTTTACCTGCCAACATGTTGGATTTTCTTTTTTTACGAGGCTAAAATAAATGAAAACATAAAAAATAGACACTGTGATAAAGGATGCTACATGACGTATGCCTACTTTTCCACTTAAGCTAAGGTTTTTACCTTAAATGTTCTTCAGTCTTCCATTTTTTCCAGTTTGATGTAATGAATGATGAATCTTTCTGGGTTCAGTCCTGCCATCGATGAGCAGCAGCTGTCATTTCACATCGCATTCACACTCTAACCAACTTCCCATTTAAACTGCTCCTGCAACCACAGGGAGAGAGCAAATGGTGGGTGGCATCTGAAGCTTTTAATCTCTTTCTAATAGGCCTCATTCATTTTAATGAAGGAAGCCATACTGGAAGATTTTATTCAATCATTGCTGAGGATTCATTTGGACCTTGGTTGACAGCCAGAGGTCAGAACGCAGACAGGAAAAATGATTCTTGAGCTTTGCTCTAATGTTTTTGAAAATATGTAAATCAGATTGAAGTGTTGCACCACTTTAAGCTATAAATGGTGGGTGGTGAAATTCAGCTGTTCCAGTCCTACATCTGGAAGTCAGCAGCTGAGGATGTACCAGCATATCTGCTTCTCTGTGGTAATTCCTACATTAGTGATGCTTCTTGTTGTCATTTTCATCCCTGAGATTCAATAACAGCTAAAGTCTTCATTACATTGTGCTCTCATTTGTTTTTAAAGGAAAAGTCTGGTCAGCAAAGAATAATCAATGGATCATTATTTATACTTAAAACTAATACGTTCGCAGTGATTTAATGAATTTAGGGTTAATCAGTAAAAAAAATACATTTTTGTGGCGATCAGAGTCTTGGAGCGGCCATTTTTGCCCAAATATAGTAGCCCCTCCCTCCTGCCATCTTCCAGCAGTGACGTCACGGTGCGGTAAGCCTAGCGCCATTCTCCCCGCTTTACAAGCTAAATCAATGGGAACTACTAGACACATCTGCAATCAACAACAATTATTGAAGATTTCCAGAGGACTTCACCATTGAAATTCACCAGAGCTATAGTGAAACTGACAATGCCCACGTGCATGGCAGCTGGATGCTGGAATACATCGGGTAAAAGTGAAAAAAAAAAGAGTTACTCCACCTTTCTGATTCCTGATCCTCCACGGACGGGTTGGTCGTTGGATCGCCAACTTGAAGAGGGAGGATTTGCCATCGAACTTCTGGCCAGAGAAAAAACCCGTAATATGTAGCCAACATTTGGAAGAAGAATGTTTTCAAGATGACTTGGATAATAGCGCGTTGTGACAAACACCAGATAAAGCACTGGGACTTGATCAACAGCCGATACCGCACCGTGACGTCACTAACCAGTAGGTGGCAGTAGTGTTCTTTGACAAACATGGATGCCTCCAGTAAAGCACATTCACATGAAAATTATTCTTAATTAAAATGACTTACTGCCAGTGTTTAGTTGATGTTTTTAGGACCCAAATGCAGTGGCGAAGAGGCAGAGGTGAGTTCTTGAAGATTTAATTAAATAACTGAGACAATAAAAAAAAAAAAACAAAGTACAAAATACATGGAACCAAAAACCAGAAGAATTCATGGGAAAAGTCAAGTTGGGAGCCAGGTAAAGACGAGGAATCAGCACTGAGGAACTGCACAGGGAGTATTTATGGGAGACTGAACAAAGACTCTGCTAATGAGTTGATTGGGAGCAGGTGTGAAGAGAGGCTTCTAGAAGGGCAATGAAGAAAAACCTAAGCACTCAAATATATCCAGAAAACACCACAAATGGTAAATGGCATGTACTTAAATAGTGCCTTTATTCAAGTCACTACATACAGTCACTCACACACTGATGGTGGCAAGCTACATTGTAGCCACAGCTGCCCTGGGGATCACTGACAGAAGCGGGGCTGCCGTACACTGGCGCCACCGGGTCCTCTGACCACCATCAGTAGACAATGCAGGTGAAGTGTCTTACCCCAAGGACACAACGACAATGAAAGTCAGAGCCGGGGCTTGGACCGTCAACCCTTCGATTTCAGGGCAAACTCCTACATCCAACGGCACTGGTCGCCCCTAATAGGAGTTAAACAAAAAAAAAACTAGAAAACAAAGAAAAACATAAGACGTAAAACTTAAAAGAAAACTTAACAGACCCAAGACTGTGTCACTTAATTTATTGAACAGTATGTAATAATTTCATATTTAAAATACTTTGAGAAGTTTGAATTCTGAATATGACCGGACTTTTCCTTTAAGCACGACTGAACGACCAAGCACTCTCTGTACCCCTAAGAGTTAAAGTCAATTAAACCTGCATTAAACACACAGGATTGTGTGATGACTGGGTGGGTGTAGATCCCAAATTTTATTTATTTAGAAAAAAGATCTGTTAACGAGTTTGTTTTCAACAGTGCTGCATTGCAGGTTTGATTGAAACAATTTTATTATTAAGAATATCTAGAAAATGTTTTCGGTGAATCCTCTCTAATGTGTTCCTTACATGTGCAGCATCCATCCATCCCCATCACAGCTCACCCCATCCCTCTGATGGACTCTAGCCTCTCTGACATCTGCTCACCTCAAAGCAACAGACCCGAATTGACCAACGACCCGCCGAGCCATCCATGTTCACTCTCTCTGACTTTTATTTTTTCTTATCTGAGTTTGCTGGGCGGAGAAAAAATTGAGAGGTTTTACCAGCCCTGAGGAAAAACAGAGAGAAGTGTTCCCTACAGCTGTGATTTGAACTGGAGGCCAGTGGATAAAGACTCCTCTGTTTCTGCTGGCAAGAAAAGCAGAATATTAAACCAAACCCTGCAGACCATAAAAATAAGTTCTTAACTTTCGGTTGTGGGGGGTGATGGGGAGAACATTTGTCCACAGCCAATCAGCTATAGGAAATACACTCCTGCACTTTATCCAGAGAACACAAGAGGGCGCTAACAGGAGATGTCTGTCATTAGTTCATCTGCAGATGGAAAAAATTATTTATTTTCAGATTGTTAACGGATTAAACTTTGGAGATCTGCAAGAACAACAAAAAATAGCGTCAGAAAGCAGTTATTTATGCTCACTGTTTAGTATTACCGTGATTTCCGGATTGTAAGCCGCTGCATTTTGAATAACGCAGCTTATATTATGGTGAGGTTTTTATTTGGATTTCCCTAACTGCCATGGGGGAGGGGGTTACAGCTCAAATTGTACAACAAAACTGCAGGGTTTAAAAGTTCACCGCTAATAATGCATGTTCTCACACTGTGCGAACCGACACTCTTATGCGATCTTATGACGGCGACTGAATTTCAAACACGTTTGGTTTTCTCCCGACCTTACGATTCCTGATCGGGAGGAGGTCGTGTGATCGCCCCTCACAATCTGCCCGATCGAAAAATTATCTTTCGACTGGAGAATCGGCCCAAAAAGGGCAAAAAATCGTACAGTGTACGCCCGGTTTAAGGATCCACTAGCTCCTTAGCCTCGTGAGACCATCCTGATCTCGCGAGCTTTCAAGGTTTCACTCGCAGATCAGTCCGGAGACTCTCTGTTAAAGAAAATTTGGAGCCGTTCACCAAACGAACGTCCAATCAGCGTTGGCTTTGAGGCGGGTTGAGGTGTGACGCAACGAGAAGCGCGACAGTTCAGTCTAAAGAACATGGCGGCTTCAGCCGATGAAACTAGCGTTAGCGTGGCTATGGAGCAAGTTTTATCGGAATTACAGAGTATTTCTTCACTGAAAGAAGAGCTAAACACTGCTCTGGAGGCTTTTCTCAGAGGAAAAGATGTTTTTGCTCTTCTCCCGACTGGTTTCGGCAAGAGTAGCATGGCTTGTGGTTGTGTTTTCGTCCTCGCTCTGTTAGTACGTCAAATGCTTCATTGATCTGATTGGTTTATTTGGCCCGTCTATCACCAACATAGGCCAATCAGCTAACCAGTATTTTCGCCCCTTCCCAAAATTACTTCAACGGAAGGTTTCCAGATGGATATGCGGAGCAAATCCATCTGACGAAGTCAGGTTACTAGCTCCTCACTCCGGAGGACAAGGTTGTTGCTTTTATGCTGTCAAAGTCTCCATTAATACAAAAAAGGTCGCTAAGTTTAGCGTTAGGTACATTTTTTAAAATAAAGAGGCTAGAGGGGTCCGAAAAGTCACTAAAATTAGCAACAAAGGCACTAAGTTGGCGTTTTTTATTCAAAACTACGCTTCGAGTTCCACACTGGCTTGCCTCCGAGCTTCGACGCGCTAACTGATGCGTGCAGTGATATAATGCTGGTCACATGATGTTGTTATTGCAGATATACACAGAAAGCATATATTTACTGACATACTCAGCAAAAACAAAACTTAAAAGAAGAAAACGAACACTACACCAGCAGGAAGCTTTAATTTGTCATTAAATTATTGCAGTTACTGGCGTATAAATAAATAAAAAGTCAAATTATGTTAAAATGTACCTTTAATTTTTTATTTTCTTTAGAGCATTGTAGAGGGGGCTTTTCCTTTTGTTAACATGTTTTTTTTTTAGCTGACTCTGTTAACTGCTCAATAACTATTTCCTTTCTTACTTAAGAAAAGGTTCTTAAACATTAATACAGGCTGGCAAGATGTAGAATAACTTTATCAAATTAAATCATTAGAGTACATGAACTAAAAAGCACTATGAGAGACACATTCCACATCGATAAAAACAATATCGTAAAAAAAACAATAAATATTAGATTATCCGGTGTGAACATTATTACATCCTTTATTTATATTAACATTTTCTGCTGCATCTGGAAGGCAGTTACCATCTGCAGACTAACTTCCTCACCCGAGGCATCTTCTTTTAGCGCTCTGTCAGTCTCTGAGGTTCCTGCTTGGTAAAACTGTACGATCTCTCCAGCATTTCAGTGCATTGCACGACTAAAACTAACTTTCACACTCAAATCCATGACTCCTGTTTCATATCAGTGTTTCTCTATGCAGGAGATTCTCCAGACATCAAATCAATGTTGCCTCAATCACCACCATCTCCTTATTTCTGTCTCACTGCAAAATCCATCTAGAAATGATTAAAAAAATGTCTTAAATCAAGTGTTTTACTCTTAATTTGAGCAGGTAAATAAGATTATCTGTCAATGGAATGAGTATTTTACTCTTAAAATAAAATCATTAGATAATATGCACTTGAAATAAGACAATTGTCTTGTTCCATTGGCAAAGTATCTATTTTTCCTGCTCAATTCAAGAAAAAATGCACTTAATTTGAAGAAAAAAAATGACTTATCCAGATTGATATTTTTTGCAGTGCTCCTAATGGTTATCATGTCATATTATTTTCAAGAAACCCAGTAAACCTGGCAGTGTTAAAACTGAACGAGCAAGGCCTCTTGGACAAATTGAAAAACAAGTGGTGGTACGACAAGGGAGAGTGCGGCAGCGGGGGCGGGGACTCCAAGGTCAGAGCCGGTTTGATGAACCCTGCGTGTGACGGGGGCGGAGAAGGGGGGGGTAACCGGCAGCTAAACATCACATTACCTCTCTGGCAACACTTTTTTAATAAGATTTAGGAAAGAATAATGAAAAATATCCAGACAGGGTAACTGTCAAAGCAAGGATGTGTATCAGGAGCACCATGAAACTTTATTAGCTAATAAAGCTGCATAATCCAACAACATCTGTTATTTAAATCCTCACATGCTTTCAAGTCTATTAATTCAGTTTTCCAACTTTTATATTTTTTTCTTACTAAAAAAAGTGATTTAAGATGACAGTGTTGCATAAATGAAGGTAATCAGTGTGCCGGTTGCCCGTAGTGATATATTAATACGCCTTACAGCGTGAGCCAGCCACGCTACATGGAGTATTTATATCACTTTGACTCTAATGCTTGTTATGTATGGAGTCAGAAAGGAGTCATAATGTTTGTAAACTTATAAATCTTAATTGAAACAGAAAAAAATATAAGTTGATATTGAAGGTCAAATTTTTACCTTATAATCAGAGAAACTAAATAAGTAAACATTAAATAATAAGAATTGAATCTAAATTCTTCTCCTCAAGTCATTCAGTTGAGTATTTTAATTGCGCTTTTTCTTTAATTTCTTTTCTTTATTGCAGTTTTAGATTTTGAGATTCAAATACATTTCTTTCTGTTTTTTTTTAAGTTTAAAATTCCCTTTTAAGTTTAGAATTTTTTTTCACATTCAAATTTGAACCCCAATCTGAAGGGAGTGGGCGGGGAAACGTGATTGACAGCTTGCAGCAGCGCTGGAGAAACGTCCCGTTCCATGTTGCATTCAAGGACTTTTTGGCAATAATATTGAATTAAAGACATACCGGAACATTTACACTGGAACTGTCACTTATCATCATTCCAGGATGCGTTAGTATATATAAAAATAAAAAGCCATTGTATAAAGCACAAAACTTTCCCACGACCGAAAAGTAAATTCTGCATCCGTTTATGGAAAGATGGCGTCTCCACCGAGTGGTTCAAGCAACACTGCTCATCAGGTAAGTTAAATCATTTTTACAAACTACATTTTCAAAGTCCTAAATAATGCAATGAAGATTAAAAACTTTAAAAGATGTTAAAAAGGGAACTACGCTCCTAGCGATGTATTTGTCCTTGGAGTTGGAGTTCCCACAGTATTTGAACGCAACATGGAACAGGAAATCCCTCCAGCGCTACTGCAAGCTGTCAATCACGTTTCCCCGCCCACTCCCGTCAGATTGTTGTCAAAATCTGAATGTGAAAAAAAAGTTTATTTGAAAGTGGTAAAAAAAAAAAAAATCCTGATACTGAAAAAAATATTTAAAACTAAATAAAAAACTGCAAGAAATGGATTTGAATCTGAAAATATAAAATGTAAAACTGGAAATAAAGAAAAGAAATTAAAAAAATTTAAAATACTAATCTGAATTTTGATTAAATTCTTATCTTATGTTTGCTTTTTTAGTTTCTTACATTATAATGTAAAAAAATTGACATTAAATATCAATTTCTATTTTTTACGTTTCAACTAAGAATTAGAGGTTTACAAAAATGTTGACCCCTTTCTGACTCCATAGGTTATGGTATTAATTTGTATGTTTGTGTTTTTCTTTGTCAAAAGCAAGAACAAGTATTGACTGTTGTGTGAATGTACTTGTTGCTGTGTATTTCTGAATTAATAACATAAAATAACATGGTATAATATGTTATTTATGTTATTTCCCTATTGTTGGAAGAATCCCAGTAAACCTAGCGGTGTTGAAACTCAATGAGCAAGCCATCTTAGACAAACTGAAAAACAAATGGTGGTACGATAAAGGCGAGTGTGGCAGCAACGACGCCGCAAGAAAGGTTAGTCTGCAACGCAAATCTGACACCTCACAGCACCTCCCCCCCACTTTACTCCTAAACCGGCACCTTTCCCCTCTGCAGTCCATCCCTCAGCCTTTACCAAACACCACATTCCCACTATGTGACGCTCGTTGTACTGGTCTAAATACACTCCTCTTTTTCCACTTTAGGATTTGCTTTAAAAATACACTCAAAGAATTATGCAAAATCAATGCATTAGTCCCTAAAAATGCAGTTTGATTGATTTAGTTTGAAGCAATCTTTAATCAGCAGGATCCCTTTTTAAAATGCACCAATCAAAATCATTTCAAATCTTTCCACTACTGAGAGGAATTTGTGCGAAACAGTTTCCCCTCACTTGTTATGCTTTCGCATCGCACAGATCTTACTGCACTTAGACAGTCAAATGTGGCGTACATTATGTTTTTCCAGCTCTGAAAAGGTCATCACTTGAGTGGCTCCTCACATTATTTCCAAACTATCATTTTAGTGCAACATACACACCACTTTCTGCATCCCTTGGCCCCCTGTCTAAGGATGTATAAAAACCTTTAAAAATAATCAACCTTTTACTGTAATGGCATGATTTCACACTATTAGCAAATGTTAGGAAAAGACTGATTTTAGTACACTTAACTAATGTGGAAAAAATAAATACATAAAAGAGGCAATAATAAAATCTGGTGCAGCAAGCAGAGAGAAGTCTTAACAGCTCTACAAAATAAAATAAAAAAGAAGCATAATATTTTGATAAAAATGTTGAAACTGAATTTTTGCAGGCATGGTTGTCCTACAGGTCTCAGAGCATTTATATTTGTTCATTTGGGGTTTTATGCTTGCATTGCAATATTAAATTACTGGTTTTCTTTTAAGGACTAGTAGCATTCCGATCCAAGAATAAAACAAAACAGAAAATTACTTTTTTTTTTTGGTTTGAAGTCCTTATTTCGCCTTTTAACAAAATATGTAAAAAGAAAAAACAAAAATTATTTTTTTCATTAATAATTTATTACTATGCGATAAGTCAAGATTATTTTTTGTGTAGTCTTCTACTGGCTGTTATCAGGTATATCTGATTGTGTACAATAGGATTTTGAGCAAAGTTTTTACCATTAAATTATGCAAAAGGTGTTAGACGCAAAACATTTCAGAAACCGTATGTATCAAATATGATACATTTGGCATTATAGGGTTAAAAATAAGACCAAAAAAATCACTTTATATGTGAATTTTCTATAGTATAATCTATTTCATGAATTTTAATACTCTTAAGAAGTGAATTTTCTAACTTCCTAACATTTATTAAGAAGTTAATTTATTTCAGGAAATCAGTTTATTATTTTTACTCCTACAAAAATCTTTCATTAAACTTTTAAGATATATTTACTATTTTTACATTAAAAACTCCCATTTGCTTTTTTTAGATAATTTTAACACAAATTGAATTAACTTTAAATTATACATACTCATTAGTTATGTATTTAGAACCAATAAAGAATACTTACTCAAAATTAATACTAATGTATTTATTTAAAATACATAAAGTTTATTGTATCAATCATGCTGGTGACGGGAAGCCAGTGTAATGAATGGAGAATGGGGGGTAATGGTAACCTGACTCCGCCAGATGGATTTGCTCCGCATATCCATCTGGAAACCTTCCGTTGAAGTAATTTTGGGAAGGGGCGAAAATACTGGTTAGCTGATTGGCCTATGTTGGTGATAGACGGGCCAAATAAACCACTCAGATCAACGAAGCATATGACGTACTAACAGAGCGACGGCGAAGAGGAGCCAATTGATAGATCAAACTCTTACGAAACCAGTCGGGAGAAGAGCAAAAACATCTTTTCCTCTGAGAAAAGCCTCCAGAGCAGTGTTTTGCTCTTCTTTCAGTGAAGAAATACTCAGTAATTCCTATAAAACTTGCTCGATAGCCACGCTAACGCTAGTTTCATCGGCTGAAGCCGCCATGTTCTTTAGACTGAACTGTCGCGCTTCTCGTTGCGTCACACCTCAACCCGCCTCAAAGCCAACGCTGATTGGACGTTTGTTTGGTGAACGGCTCCAAATTTTCTTTAACGGAGAGTCTCCAGACTGATCTGCGAGTGAAACCTTGAAAGCTCGCGAGATCAAGATGGTCTCACGAGGCTGAGGTAATGTGCTCATGTGGAGTTAGGAAGCTGAGACGGAGCCACTTCTTGCAAGAAATAAGGTTCCTCAAACGGAGAGAAAGAGCTCTCCTCAATACATACTTTATACCTTACAATTTCCCAACACACACTCCCCCCAGGGGAACGAACCCACCCCCTGCATCAATAACTTTCTCACAGTTTAACATTGAAGCAAAACAACTTTGAGTTCATCGAGGCCGTTCATAGAGATTTTCTAAATTTTGGGACAATATGGTCTGATGAAGAGTACATTTATATACATATCTAAGCCAGAATGATTTGACATTTAAATATTACTTCCCTAGGACTTTAAAGACTAATTGGGATAAGGTTAGAGAAGTAATTTCTATGAGGCGGTTTTGTAATTTCCATGAAAAATTAAAAGATTGTGTCACAGCTCAAATACTAACACTATGAAGTCCAGTCTGTCCCTGAAAAATCTTAAATTGTTAATTTAATCAACACTGAAGTTTATAAAATCAACGTGGCACATCAACCAATCAAAAAACTTACAAAAATGAACAAGAATATATTTATTTATATGATCAACGCTTCACTACAATGATATAAAAAAATAATCTGTGGTGAAACCTACATAAAATATCAAAACATGCCACTAATTTCTATGAGACTGTTTTCTAATTCCAATGAAAAATGAAAAACTTTTGTCACAGATTTTATCACAGTTATCAGATAATAACACCTCCTAAATACGCCCAAGCTGTCCATCACAGATCCTTCATTGTTCTGCAGTGAATTTCGTGACTAAATATAGCGTTTGGTTTAGTTTTATGGCATGAATTGTTTTATTGGATCACATCAGCTAAATCATTAGGAAGTGCCTCCAGACGCATCCCTCCTGTGGCTCTTAAAATGATTACGTTCTGCTCTAAGCTAAATTGATTTTATTAAGTTCTTTTTGTAATTATATACTAAA